TATAAAGCTGGCCAGAATTATGAAAATTGCACTGCGCAGCCTCAAAAAATGCCTGCGCAGTGTCCCATCTCTAGTCACATGCCTAGTTATTGCTGATTCGAGACAAAAGCTGCCTCCATACTATCGTATCGAGCAGCTTTATTTATTAATTACCACTGTCGGAACAGAATATAATTGAAAGCTTGATGACAGGTTTTCTCCTGATGTCACTCATAAATCTATTTATACAGTAATTAATATCGTAAAAAAAATAAAATTTATAAATAAGTCTACACAAATTTAATATCTTTGTTTTCATGACATAAAACTTTTAAACAGACCCGGCCGGTCGGTTTTTTTTTTTAAAAAATCCCCCACCCAGTCATTACAGCTGTTTTCATAAATTCTGGAAAATCTGGAAAAATATATAAAAATTTTTTTTTTCTACAAGTTTTCAAATTTTGACTCGGCCGGGTTATGAAAATCAATTAAGTTCACTCAATGTAATTTGCAAGTAATCGAGATGTTGTACAATCTGTAACAATTTTACTGAAAATTCATTGTACGAAATGCAGATTTTAAAGTTCAGCCGATCAGAGTAATTATGAAAAAAAGATGATTGTTAGCTCCAGCTTTTTGGCCGAAATAATCAAACATGATCTAATTTTTCAGTCAATAAGATTATTTTATCAACCATTGAATGAGATACTTGAGAACAATCTGAACTGATTTTGAGCGTAGATTTAAGTTAGGGTTTATACTAAAATTAGGGTAATTTTTTTTTTAGGGCACGAAAGCTGTTTTATAAGAACATTTTTAGACAAAAAGTTTCTTAATTTTATCGATCGTTATTTAAAAAAATCTGGCACAGAATTCTTCAATCAAAAGGCTCTTTTTGTAACACTTCGGAACACATCTAATGTTGGTATAGTAGCCGATATTTCGAAATACAAATACAAAGGAATTAGGTGATTCTTCAACAATTATTCTTCAACGCCTAATCCTACGCCTAAACCATCTGGTTTAATGAAATAACACGTACATATGTACGTACATGCATATGTGCATTTATGCGTATTAGAGTTGATAATTTAGGAATAGTTGATACCGAACTTTAAAATTTCAATCTTTTTACTTATATAGAACAAAAATTAACCGGCATTACCAATGGTAATTTACTATTAATATATCGATATATCTGCAACTTAATAAAATAGGCTACAGGTATCTAAAATGGGTGTCGAGGAAAATAAGTTCCGCTGGGTTTCTAGAAGTAGTTATATGAATAAAATATATATTGTTTTTAGCATACTATTTATGAAAAATGATTGAATATTCATTTTATTGAGACCTTGATATATAGAAATTGATATTTTTGGATTTTCTGTACTGTTAATACTTACATATGTTAGATAATAATACCGATAACAATTCTAAAATTTTTATAAATATGACTCAAATTCTTACGGTCTGTACATTGTACTTAAATTTCGTATTATTAAAATCTCAAATCACTTATTTATTACCCCATTTTATAAAAATGGTAAATATTGTATTTTCTGCAAATTATTTTTGTTTATTATAAGTTCTACATTGCTAATAATATTTAATTTGTAGGATAGTGCACAAGACTTATTACCTATAGTAATACCTTGTTTTGTTGGACTTGTTATTATTATAGTTTTTGTGCTTGGACTAATTAAAAGTCACAAAAAAGGGATGGTTCCTCATTATCTTCTTTATTTTACCTTGGCATTTGCCCTTCCTCCTTTATGTGTTAATCTAATCCAAGAAGAGTTAGACGATTTAAGAAAAAATAGCAAGATTAATGAGCCAAAAAAGGATGATCCATTTTGCTGTGGTATTTGGGATTGGTTTAAAGATTGCCTTAAAACTTGCTTTACTTCTATGTTATCATGTTGTACGGTTCTGTTGAGTATAATTACTTGTAATTATTGTTGTCTTGGACCTACAGCCAAGCCAGCTGTTCGTGTTAGCATAATGTGTACAATGGCCTTATATATTCCTGGTTTGTGTATTAAATTTTTTATTTTTAATATTTATTTAACTTATTTAATTTACAATTTGTTTATTTATTGGTCTGATAGGTGTTCTTCATGCTCTTATTATGTTATTTAAGATGGTTGATATGGTAAAACCCATAGATGAAACAAAACAAGAAGGAAGTAATGTTTAACAAGTTTGGTAACAGTCTGTGCAAGTAAATTTGTTCACTAGAATGTCATTTAGAAATTATAGATAAAGATAATTTTTTTACAATACTTTTGGTCGATACTGTATGTTTAAATTATAAATATTTTATGAATTAGTTTTTAGCTTGTGCAAATTCTATTCATTAGTTATATCCTATTTGTTGAGTGCATAATGAACATTCTGAGCTGGATAAACAATTTGTGGTTGTCTCAAATTTTCTATGCTAGCAACATTCAGGTTATAATTTTTTTCATTGTATTACTTCATTAAACTGTGTAAAAAGGGTCAAATTTTATTATTACCGTTCAATGCAATAGTAATCTTTTTGAATATTGTCATGAGATATATATGTATTTGCAAGATTTCTTGACAAAATTATCTAAATTTTATATTCTATTAAATTATAATTGACTGTAACAAAGTCTTATTAATGATTTGCTGTCACAAGAATGTATTAGTTATAGATATTAAGAGATAAAAAATTTCCTCCGCAATTTAAAATTATGTATACCATGCAGCGTTTTGATTTCTTAATTAAAAGAATACTATACCGATACAATTAAGATAAATTTTGCCAAATATAGTATACTCGACACTGGATTATTTATTATGCTTTTCAAATTACTGTGATCAGAAACAGGAATCTGGAAAAAATGCCAATATACGATTGGTTAAAAATTATTTGCTTGATTTTTTAGCCAATCTATATTGGCATGTTTTCTAGATTCTTGATTCCCGTTGTAATACACGAAATTTACTGATCACAGTAATACCAGGAACGGAGTATTAAATACGAAAAGTATGGTTTACGAGCAAGTGGGATGTCTCTTTTTTATCCGATTTGTTGATCCAATCTCGTGACTTCATCTTGTGATCTATATATTTATACTCTCTGAGACTCTTTGTCTATTGACACATGATAATGAAAAAAATGCAAATTAGATGTTTGTGAGCAAAGGATTATTCTAGATTATCCTCTATTTAGTATCGTGGCCTTTAACCTCGTGATATAAACATTGAAATTACTGTATTCTTATTCAGATTGTATTATCGTCATTGATTTTTGAAATCATTTAGATTTTCTGCTTCACTTGATCGGACTTGTTAAATATAAAAGTTTCTTATATCATGTTTCAACTATTCTTTGAATTAATTGAAATCAGGAATTTATTAAATTTTCATATTTCATAAAATTTCGCCTAAATATATTCGTTCATTTTAGCTGTCCTAATTCAATATCTATTTTTAAAGTGTACACTTTACAATTAAATCATTTGTTGCTTTACTAACTTGCTTACTGTTATTGAATGCTTGATTCTCTATTTTTTTATACTGTCACCATCGAAAGGGAGAGCTTTCATCAATCATGCTGAGTTTAACTCAAATGGTTGTGTATGAAAGACGCGGAAACCTGATAATAGGATTAGTAAGCATTTATTATATAAAAGAATGTAGGTTTATGTATTCTTTATTTAAAGACAATTTCAGAAAGCATCCTTTCCCCTGAATGCAGGGTAAGAACAACTTTTGAATACATTCTCATTTCTTATAAAGTCTACATTAAGATTATAACATCTACACTATAACTCTGAATACACATGCTTTTTCACAGGTAACCCATTCTATCAAGTTTATACGAGATAGCTACGTCTACACAACGATTAAGATGTTTATGATCCCGAGGGATTCACTTGGATTAAGCTATTATGAATACATAAGAATGCCTAATACTAGAAAGGTATGATTATCATGACTATGATGATACATGTATGAAATAAATGTGACAACTTACTTAATTAAACAAATATAGAAGAAGAGACACGGAAAAAAATTATTCGTTAAAATACTTACATTTAATCGTAAATGAGACATAACTAGTTTTTATGCGTTCTTAAATACTGAATGTTTTTTTTATGTACTGAGATGCCCTAAATCGGCGAGTCTGTCGCTAATCGAAGGTCGGCTTCGTGTAACGTTCGGACGGCTTTCGGTC